CTGCCATCAGCACTGTCTGTCAGGCCACCATCACCAAAGTCCCTTGTCAGGTAACCCCAGTCTACACTTCTTAAATAATCCATTAGCCACATAATCTGTGGCTCGAAAATTTGGGACCTTGCCTTTGTTTATGAGGTAATTTCCTGAGATATTCAGACTAGAAATTCGTTACGCTACATTTCCTGTCAAACTGTTCCAATCAATTTGGGTGAAGTAAAAATCCTCCCCCTAAAAACTACATTTTCATATCTAGACGCCTCAGCAATTTCTTTCCATAGAAATTTACGGTCGTCACAATCTAGGTGCGTCCGATCAGGTGCTTAGATCTCACCAAAGATTAGCTTTACATGTCCTTCGAGAAACTGCAACTAAACAGATTCCATGTGAGTTCCTTCCATCTTTCAATCACTTCTGATGTAACAATTTAAGTTTTCCCTAACATACATAGTAACTCCACCACCTTTTCTGTTGACACCTTCAGTGTGGAATCATTTATATCCCTCTATGTAGAATTCAGCAGGCATGTCCCTCTTTTTTCCAGGTTGAACTAAGAAGAGAATGTAGCAGTGATATTATTGTTATAATATCTATCAGTTCCGCACCGGGTATCTGTATAGTACGTGCTAAGAAAGATGTTTCCCTGCTGCTCTTCTCTGTCTCTGTTTGAAGACCAGTGCCTGTGTTTTTACTAGCAGCTATTTCATGAACTATCCTATTTTAGGGGCGTTTTCCTAACAAATCTTGGCAAAATTTGCTCTCTCTCTGTCCCTTGTGCTGCAAACCCCTTTTGTTTACCACACACACACCCATTCCTCTATCTTCAATTAGTTTAGTCTTACAAAATTTAGCAAAGGCTTATACGACTGACTTGGCTAATGCTACTATCACTACCCGCAGAAAGATGCACCTCATCCCTGGCATAATTATCTTATTTGCTATTAAAAATTATCCCAGTTGTCAATGAATGGAATTTCAAGTTTCCTGAGGCACTTGTGTAGCCAGCAATTTACACCCATTGTCCTAAATATTCATCCACTGCCCACTCCTCTTCTAGGCAAAATGTTACATATGATCACAGAACAACACCTGACTTGTACTTTACCAGCAGCCAATTTTTCCTGTATTTCCCAATATCATTGCTTCCTACAGCGAGGCAGATCATTTTTTTTTCCTATTACCTAACACGAAGTTTTTTAACCTGTTAACCACATCACCAAAACCTGCATCAAAGAAACACACTCTCTGCCGTGCCTTCCTCCTTGTTACTGAAAGCTCTGCCCACACCTCAGACAATTAAGTCCTTTTTTTATTTTATGTTGAGCCATACATTACAACTTGTACCCTCGTCCTGCAGAACACCAGAGAATCCTGATTTTTAATCCTGCTTCCACCTTCCACATATTCATCCTTCTTCCACTTCTGGAAACAGAAGTGGGAACCACTTCACCTTTCTCATTATACTTACCAATCATCTTATCTAAATAAGATTTTAATCTCTCAGTCTGTTTTTAAGAACTAGAACCTCATCCTTTACTCCTTTACATGAAAGAAAGGACTGGCAGAAAGCATGAAGTTTCTTTGTACAGTGAGAAAGGTAACAAGATAAAGAATAAGAAATAGGTTTACTAAGTATATTTTGTGAAGTTTACGATAGCTTTATTACCGAAAAAAACGAAGCTACCAGAGACAGAAAGGAAGCCTAAATAAAATATACAAACACTGTAAATCTGTCCATTTACCAAAATTAATTATCGGTATATACACAGAGGAAAGATAGAAATAGGAAAGGAAGATGTATTGATCAGTTGCTCACATTACTGCATATTAGTGAACAATATTTAGATAAGAGTAAGGGGACTTTCTAATTTTTGGATTTAGGAATGCCATGTGATGGGGTGATAAGTAATTCAGTGCGGCAGATTTTTCAGGAATATGTAAAAAGTGGAAGGTTATTTTTAGTTTCCAAGTTTTTATGAGGAAACTGACGCTCATGTTACAGCAGCTAGAAAAAGAAGAGAAGCATTTTTCAGTAAAAACAGATGTGGGACGTCGCCACAGATGGTTAATGTATTCATTGATGGAGTTGTAAAATATGATAATGCTGGTGTGTTGAATTTTAAGGATTATGAATCTGATAAGTGGGAACTACTGAAATTGCTATTTACTGATACATTGCTCTATTAGATTCCGTAGAGAAGCTAATAAGGTTGATAGAGGAGTTTGGGAGAATACGTAGGGCCGGGTCACCATATGGAGAAGACCCGGGCCGGAAGTACCGGCAAACCTCTAATGGAGAATACGTAAAAGAAGGAAACTAAAAGTGAGTACAGAAAGGACAATGATGATGATGATAGTAAGAAAAATTTTGACAGCGAAAGATTAGACGTCAGACTGGAGGGAGTATGGAGGAAGTGAATATGTTTACATATTTGGGAGTAAATGCAACTGCAGATGAGAATATGAAAGATAAAATGAATCCAAGAACCGAAAGAAAAAAAGTAGGCGGAGTGTTGAAGAGTCTGTGGCAAGGAAGAAATGTATCATTGAATACAGGAAGAGAAATGTACCATAAAACAGAAGTACTATCATTTTTATGTGGGTGGGAAACATGGTCCTCAAATATTACAGCAATGACGAGGCAGGAAGTAGGAATATGTTTATATCTTCGTGTGACGTGAATGTTATGCAGAAAACAAAGAGAATATATACTAGAAGAGAGTGATGGGGAACGAATGGTGTAATTCAGAGAGCATAAACGAAGTTGCTGACATTATCTAATCCTTTAGAAATGACAGAAGTTGTGACTGAACAAGAACATGTATAAATTAGGGGATGTTTAACAGTGCAGGTGTCATCCCAAGAAGGTATGGATTGTAGATGTTAACTTTTTGAGTGGTAGGAGCTTACGCATTTATCAGGCATATATGTTAGATCAGAATAGATTTTTTTATATGACCTAATATTATAGTGCAAGCAAGGTAACCTTTATAAAGGATTCACAGGAAACCGGTTAGTCGGACAAGACTTCAAGAGGTGGTGGGAAGTACAGTGCCTGCACTGAAGGAAGTCTGAAGATGTTGCAGTCCGGCATATCATTTTGAACTGCTGTGTCAGCGTCCTTCTAGAATGACAGTTCATTAATGAGTTAATATAAACATATTTTCCCATTGTTTCAGTCACCTACTTTTGTGGGACACGGCTGCCGTGTCAAAAAAAAAAAAATAGTTAACCATTGTGAAAGTTGGTCAACGCTGCCTTACTGACGTAGCGTAAAACACTCGTTTTCAACCATATTCAGTCGAGCTACAGCTCTTGGAAAAGAAACATCGTGTGTGATGGAATATCCAGGTTACCATATTTTCTTCCTAAGACAATAAGACAAAACGTGTAGTGTTGTTTTTATGAACGACGACGCTCGTTAGTCAATTTGCGAATATTTTACTAAATGTAATTTTGGCGTCATCATACTTACAAAATGAACAAACATTTTTACAATATTAACTCCATCAAATTGATCAAACATATTATTGTGGTTTTTACCACACTCACCAAAATATTGTAAGTAATGTTAAAAATAATATAAAATTAATAATAATAATAAAAATAAGAAAAAGAAGAAGAAGAAGAAGAAGAAGAAGAAGAAGAAGAAGAAGAAGAAAAAGAAGAAAAAGAAGAAGATAAAAACATTAAAGACTTGTTTCGGTCACTGAATACGAGAGAGGTATCCCCCGTATACACTAACTATTCCATGTATTCAACAACCTTAATGCATGCAAGGGGCACATAGCAGCTGGCCCCCAGAAACCTAAAGAGGCAGAGAAACTGTAACTCAAGTTTCCAAGAGGCCCAAGAGCTTGAGGTCGACGCCTTAAAGGGACCCAAGAGTTTAAGCTAGTATATTCAAGAAATGTAGCTCCTATACGTAGCTTAACATCCTCAAAAGACCCAGGAAATATAGATCAACACGCTTAAGAGGGCCAGGAGCTGAAATAATTCAAACTTTCTTCGCACATATATCAGCAATGAAGGTTTGAAGCAAATCGGTAGATGCACGGAAAAGCATGCAGTATACAGTACACATGAATGCAATTTGCATCCTGTGTAACTTGATCTCAGGTGATGAAAACATTACCCAGATAATCTCCCCACAACTGTGTCAACAGTACGCCGTTTCCTCCAGGTTCTGCCTTAACCAAAAGACACCCGAGCATGCCAGTAGTAGCAGGAGCCTCTTCCTAGTACAGTACACAGGAATTGAAAATTTGAAGCCGATTGGATGAGTCGTTCTCAAGTTATAAGCGGCAAACTTAAGGAAACAAAAAATCCTGAAGTAGCCTAAAGGTACCCCACTGGGGATGCATGCTTGTTGTTGTTGTTGTTATTGTTATTGTTGTTGTTGTTCTTGTTGTTGTTGTTATTATTATTATTATTATTATTATTATTATTAAACTCTTACTTTTAACGGTAACAACAACTGGAGCATATTGTAACCCATGTGAGCAATGCGCGACTTCACAGGAAGTGGGCGGTGCTTGTTTTATGCAGTGCATTATTACACGGGGACCTGGAGCACAACTCTGACCAGATAATTATCTTAGTATGGGTTTTCATATGATCTGTCTACGTTGAACATTACAAAACCTGATTTTCAATGAACTACTGAACATTTTCAGGATGACAAGCGAGGCTCTATGACAGGTGTGGGGTTCCAGCTGTATATCGTACATGTTTAGAGAAAATCTCTCTCAATCCAGACATCTAAAAATAAACCACAACCACCGTGAGGTGTGAAATATACCTTTAAAAAATCTAAAGAGCATGTTTTCGCTCATGGTTAATGATAAGCAGACACATCAGCACTACAGAGAAGAAAGTTTATGGTATACTGTTGACGTGAAATGTTTCACAAGCTGATCAATCAGTAGACAGTTCCCACGCCCAAGTTAGTGACTGAACTCACAAAAGTCAACTTTAGCGATACTAGGTTGCGCCACCGAGCACCAATGACCCCGCGTGAGCCGGTTGGAGCACACCACAAGGAAGAGAATGGAGGAAGTGCTATGAAGGAAGGCAACTAAGCAAGAGTGAGAGGCAAGTATATAAAGACAGCGGACGACTTGGGTCGACATAATACTCCACCATGAAGCTCCTGGTGAGTAGTGCCTGGTAGCAGCCAAATCTCGACTCCATTTCAGTGATAAGTGTTCCACGACTCGAAACACTTGTGTTTATACTCTGCCCCAACAGTGACGTAGTGTTTTGTCTAGGAAACTATTCCATTTTCTACCAGCGGTCTCTTTCCTAGCAACAGTGGCACTGGCAAAAAAAATTTTTTTAGATTTGTTCACTAACTGCTCATATGTGAAATTAATTATTTTTACATTTATCTTTGTGTTCGAAAATAGACTGTTATGTTTGGTATCTATCAGCTGTACGATGGTCACTAAGGCCTCAATCCACTTTGTCACTACCATTAAGAACAAATACTCTTAATCAACAAAGTAGGGAATAATGTAAGTTTATGTACACTAAGAAATACAAAGACTTATTGTGCAATTATTATTCTAATATATTGATAATTGTATCTCTACATACACCATGTTGTTAAATATTTAACAAGTTTTCATTAATATTTTTTCCTCGCTTTTCGTGTTTTTTTTTGTTTTTTTTTTAATATTTTATACAAGATTGTTCATACTTATATATGTATTTTTTTATTTTTTTTTTCACAAGTCTAAATTTAATGGAGGAAAGTATAACAGTGTTTATGAAAACTACAAGCAAGCGACAGGTTGATAAACAATCCATTGGTGAAACGTTTCGCCTGTGCAGCATTTATCTTCACTTGCAGTAGTAGTAGTTTTAACGTGATCAGTCATTCAGCTTTACTAGGATGTGGTCAGTCTCTCAAGCCTGAGCGAGTAACCATCTGCCCTGGTAGACGGATTGAAACTGATGCTGTCTTCAGTGTTAGATTCCCCTGTATTTGACTGAAGAATGTTGTGCAGACGAAACGTTCCGTCACTAAATATATTTAAATGGTACACGTGTCTTATTCGTCAAGTAGTGTTAATTAATAACTGCCATCATGGTTTCTTATTTATTATTATCCTCTACGATTGTTTCTTTGTTTAGTCTCAGAAAAAAAAACATGATTAAAATGAACTGGATAACATGACACACAAGATTAATTATACAAATTACCACGTTGTCTTCAGATCCTTGCCTCAGTGTTGGTGGCTGCCGCCCACGCTGGTTCTTTAGGCTACAGCCTCCCAACCCCCGCTGGTCCAGCGTTCGCCGCTGGCGGTGGTGGATTTGGAGACGATTTGCTCCTCTCAGGTGGTGGGGCGATTGGAGGCGGGTTCGTTGGTGGTGTTGGCGGCGGGCTCATCGGCGGCGTTGGCGGTGGCTACGGTGGCGGCTGTGGTGGAGGAAAGATCCTTCATGTTGACGGAAGCTGTGTAACTCCTCTAGTCACCCGCAATCTGTTTGTGTACAAAGCTCCACCTGTGGCTCCACTCGTAGGTCCAAAACCTTACATTCCTCCACCTAAGGTTGAACATAATGTTATTTTCATCCATGCCCCAGAAAGCGGACTAGGTGTAGAACCGATCATCGTGCCACCACCACAACAGAAGAACGTTGTTTACGTCCTCAACAAGCGGCCTGAAATAGACCACAAGGTCGTCCACATCCCACAACCTGAGCAACATACTCCTCAAGTGTACTTCGTCAACTATGCCGAAGGCGACAACCCGACTTTGCCAACCGGTGGTGACCTCAAGTCTGCTCTCAGCTCCGCCGCTCATGGAGGCGGCCAGGTCGTTGGCGGTGCTTTTGGTGGTGGTTTGGGCGGTGATTTCGGTGGAGGCTTGAGCGGCGGTTTTGTTGGCGGCTTTGGAGGTGGCAGTAGCTTTGTAGGTGATGGTGCCTTTGGCAGCGCAGGTTTTAAAGTTGGAGGAGGTGGTGTGTCAGTGAGTACTCCATCTAGCCTATACGGTGTGCCGTAGACACACTACCAGTTGTGTTTTTATAGACGTTTATAAAGCATATTTGGTAAAAGAAATATTATTTGTATTGGTTGTGTTTTAACTATGAAATGTTATTATTTGTTCAAAAATATATGTTTATATTATCCACTGTGTTATTTAAACCAGAAAAAAAGCCCTCTACTTCAAGCCAAATATTTAGATCATGTGATCAACAAAACAAGATAGACAAGTTTCTTAGTCATGCAGTGGTTATACATAGTCACTTAGTCATGCAGTGGTTATTCATAGTCACAAGATGCATACACCGAGAGGTATATATCTCACTGTATATACACTAAGAGTTTAATCTCTATTTTTAGGGCGAAACCATTTTTGACTGGAGGTGAACAGGTGGCATACAGCATTAATGACGTCGTGTAGTCGATTGACTTTAAACCCCCATTACCCAACCATTTACAGATCTAGATGATCGGAAGAAAATGGTGCACAAACCAAGATATAAATACCTCTGTAGGAAAGAACTCTGACGCCGGTGAAGGGTACCTGAGATAGGGAATTTGAGCTACCCTCCGCTTCCTTGGAGTAAACCTGAATGCCTCACGTACCTCATTCTACAGGTGCTGCACGAACCCTGAGAGTTTAGTGACTCCAGATAAACATAAAAATAATAATCGCTCAGCACGACAGTACTGTACCGTGTATGGTTCTTCTTGATTTTGTACACGGTACTGAACGTAAATTATCGAAATTAAGCTGATAATATTTGTAAGTCACGAGAAACAGGTTAATATTTAAATGTATTCAGTGTTATTTTTCAGAGTATCTTTGAGACAACACACAACCCAAAAAAAAAAAAAAAAATGCCTGGTTAATCAGGCCCTGATCCACCGCGAGACTTGGTCTTAGACCGAGCCTCCGGGGCGTTGATTCTTGAAACACCCTTCAGAGGTATACTCCAGGTATGCCATCTAGTCATTTTTTTTAACAATATCAACTGCAACAGCCTCGTGCTGCTACCCTGATCAACCTGACGTTTTTTCAAGGTCAGAGCATCACGTTAAACTATTTTTTCTTTCTGTTATTGTACAAGATGAGTAACACATATGAGGTAATGACCAAATATATCAGCTTGAGCTGGGAGACTTCAGTTGAGTGACAATAACACATTAAGGCGTTTCTCTGTGAGAACCGTCGCTACAGCAGCTGTAGTGAAAGGGAAAGCAAAACATAAAACGTATTAAAGTTTCGTTACCATGTGGCAGCATACGTCTTATAATCTAGTCACTCATTATTTCCAGAAGGATGCCTTGAAGTGGGTGACTCAGTTTTGTTTCCTCCAAAGTATCGTTTATTGCTCGACGAGTCATTCGATCGGCGTGTGCAGATTCCCGCTGTTATTGTTGTATAGATTATTCCAGGATTCTTGGAATGCATCTGACAACTTTACAAGGCATCTTATAATTTGCTTCAAGCATTCAGCACCGGTTTATTGTACTAGACGAAGACTGATAATGTTACTGTTAGTGTCCTCGTATACACACTCATATAGTACACACGAACATTCATACAGTCACAAAACTATACTTAAGTACATACACACACGAATGCACAACACTGCATACACACGCAAAAAAATGTACATACATACATGCATACATATGCACAAGCATACATATTTTATATTTTGCTCCATTAGACTTGTATGAAGTATTCCCTTACCCCCCTGAATAAGTCCTTGAGCGTGCATTGAGGTAGAGGAGGCTGAACTTAGGGGATAAGTGGATACCACAGCTGCACAAACACATCCGGTTTCAGTTTACTTCTCTTTAGTTTTAGTCCTATAATATTTATAAACTCTTACTCGCACTACCTACGCATAAGATTCCATTAGAAAGTAACAATAACAATTCTTAAATACTGTATAAGGTATTATTAAGCTTGCAACTGGTACGCCTTTGTAGGCTAAACCAACAGTCTGATGTGTATAATTGAAGCCTCAGCTTCTTCCATATTTGAAACAGATGAAAACGAGTTTTTTCCTTGTAAATGAGACTGTTCGTTATGTATGTATAATGTCGCCAAGACCGTATCCTGGCACGAGTCTCAATCTTACGATGACCTGTCTCTGGCTCCCGAGACAGCACCTATGTACCCATAACCACCCTCACTCATACCTGACCTCACTCAACCATAACCACCCTCACTCATACCTGACCTTCACTCACACATAACACCTCACTCATACCTGACCTCACTCAACCATAACCACCCTCACTCATACCTGACCTCACTCAACCATAACCACCCTCACTCATACCTGACCTCACTCAACCATAACCACCCTCACTCATACCTGACCTCACTCAAACCATAACCACCCTCAACTCATACCTGACCTCACTCAACCATAACCACCCTCACTCATACCTGACATCACTCAACCATAACCACCCTCACTCATACCTGACCTCACTCAACCATAACCACCCTCACTCATAACCTGACCTACTCACACCATAACCACCCTGCACTCATACCTGACCTCACTCAACCATAACCACCCTCACTCATACCTGACCTCACTCAACCATAACCACCCTCACTCATACCTATACCTCACTCACATATAACCACCGTCCCTCATACCTGACCTCACTCACACATAACCACCCTCACTCACACCTAACCTCATTCACGAATAACCACCCTGAGTCACACCTAACCTCACTCACACATAACCACCCCCACTCACAACATAACACCCTCACTCACACCAGAACCTCACTCACACCTAACCTCATCACGTATAACCACCCTTACTCACACCTAACCTCACTCACATAACCACCCTCACTCATAACTAACCTAATTCACACATAACCACCCTCACTCACACCTAACCTCACTCACACATAACCACCCCCACATAACCACCCCACTCACACCTAACCTCACATACACATAACCACCCTCACTCACACCTAACCTCACTCACACATAACCACCTCACTCACACTAACCTCACTCACCACACATAACCACCCTCACTCACACCTAACCTCACTTACACATAACCACCCTCACTCACACCTAACCTCACTCACACATAACCACCCTCAGCTCACACAAACCACCCTCACTCACACCTAAAACCTCACTTACACATAACCACCCTCACTCACACCTAACCTCACTCACACATAACCACCCTCCAGCCACTCATAACCATACCTCACTCAACATCCTAACCTCACTCACCCATAACCACCCTCACTTAGTCACACATAACCACCCTCATTCACACATAACCACTCTCGCTCACACATACCCCCCTTTCTCACACATAACCACCCCATTCACACATAACCACCCTCGCTCACACATAACCACCCTCACTCACACATAACCTCACTCACACATAACCACCCTCTCTCACACATAACCACCCTCACTCACACCTAACCTCACTTACCACTAACCTCACCTCACACATAACCACCCTCACTCACCATAACCATCCTCACTCACACCTAACCTCACACATAACCACCCTCACTCACACATAACCACCCTCACTCACACCTAACCTCACACATAACCACCCTCACTCACACATAACCACCCCTCACTCACACCTAACCTCACACATAACCACCCTCACTCACACATAACCACACCTCATCCACACATAACCACCCTCACTCACAACATAACCACCCTCGCTCACACATAACCACCCTCACTCACACATAACCACCTCCACTCACACATAACCACCCTCGCTCAACACATAACCACTCTCATCTCACACCATAACCACCCTCACTCACCACATAACCACCCTCGCTCACACATAACCACTCTCACTCACACATAACCACTCTCACTCACACATAACCACTCTCACTCACACATAACCACCCTCACTCACACATAACCACTCTCACTCACACATAACCACTCTCACTCACACATAACCACCCTCACTCACACATAACCACCCTCACTCACACATAACCACTCCTCACTCACACATAACCACCATCACTCACACATAACCACTCTCTCACTCACACTAACCCTCTCACTCACACATAACCACCCTCACTCACACATAACCACTCTCACTCACACATAACCACCTCACTCACACATACCACCTCACTCACACATAACCACTCTCACTCACACATAACCACCTCACTCACACATAACCACTCTCACTCACACATAACCACCTCTCACCTCACACATAACCACTCTCACTCACACATAACCACCACTCACTCACACATAACCACTCTCACTCACACATAACCACTCCCACTCACACATAACCACCCTCACCACACATAACCACCCTCACTCACACATAACCACTCTCACTCACACATAACCACCCTCGCTCACACATAACCACTCTCACTCACACATAACCACTCTCACTCACACATAACCACTCTCACTCACACATAACCACCCTCACTCACACATAACCACTCTCACTCACACATAACCACTCTCACTCACACATAACCTCACTCACACATAACCTCACTCACACATAACCACTCTCACTCACACATAACCACCCTCACTCACACATAACCACTCTCACTCACACATAACCACCCTACACTCACACATAACCACCCTCACTCACACATAACCACCCCACAACACACCATAACCAACTCTCACTCACACATAACCACCCTCGCTCACACATAACCACTCTCACTCACACATAACCACCCTCGCTCACACATAACCACTCTCACTCACACATAACCACTCTCACTCACACATAACCACTCTCACTCACACATAACCTCACTCACACATAACCACTCTCACTCACACATAACCACTCTCACTCACACATAACCTCACTCACACATAACCACTCTCACATCACACATAACCACCCCACTCACACATAACCACTCTCACTCACACATAACCACTCTCACTCACACATAACCACTCTCACTCACACATAACCACTCTCACTCACACATAACCACTCTCACTCACACACATAACCACCCTCACTCACACATAACCACTCTCACTCACACATAACCACTCTCACTCACACATAACCTCACTCACAACATAACCACTCTCACTCACACATAACCACCCTCACTCACACATAACCACTCCTCACTCACACATAACCACTCTCACTCACACATAACCTCGCTCACACATAACCACTCTCACTCACACATAACCACTCTCACTCACACATAACCACTCTCACTCACACATAACCACTCTCACTCACACATAACCACCCTCACTCACACATAACCACCCTCACTCACACATAACCACCCTCACTCACACATAACCACTCTCACTCACACATAACCTCACTCACACATAACCACTCTCACTCACACATAACCACCCTCGCTCACACATAACCACTCTCACTCACACATAACCACTCTCACTCACACATAACCACTCTCACTTCACCACATAACCACTCTCACTCACAACATAACCACCCTCACACACACATAACCACTCTCACTCACACATAACCTCACTCACACATAACCTCACTCACACATAACCACTCTCACTCACACATAACCACTCTCACTCACACATAACCACTCTCACTCACACATAACCACCCTCACTCACACATAACCACTCTCACTCACACATAACCACTCACTCACTCACACATCAACCTCACTCACACATAACCTCACTCACACATAACCACTCTCACTCACACATAACCACCTCACTCACACCATAACCACTCTCACTCACACATAACCACTCTCACTCACACATAACCACTCTCACTCACACATAACCACCCTCACTCACACATAACCACTCTCACTCACACATAACCACTCTCACTCACACATAACCTCACTCACACATAACCTCACTCACACATAACC